ATTCAAACAGTCAAAACTACAAAATGTTTCTACCTAGTATAGGTCTTTTCAAGTATTTTGCCAGCTCTTAACTTTTCGCCGCACAGAACACATCGCTAGGTGTAGCGGAGTATAGCGGTATGGGGGGGGGATGCGCAGCGCACCAATGACCTTGAGTCGCCACGATATTTGAAAAGATTAATACCTACTTTAAATAAAAATTGTAAATAATTTTGGAAAAACAATTCTTCAAATATGTAGATATAAAATTACAAATTGATTTGATTTTTTTATGATATTTAAGCTTAATTCTTGTAGCATTTCCTTTGTCATGTAGCAATAGAAAAGTTACAGAACTCTACTTTTGTATTTCCGACTATAAAAATGTAAATATACAATATTTGATATTCTGCTTCATAAAATGTTAGAACTGATTAATATTTATATTGTCCGCTCTTACGTTTTATGATGTCATAAAACTTCTTATCAACTGTTTGTCAGTCTGTCCATTTTAAATCTTGTGCTCTACTTTTCTTTGATTAACTTATAAATATTTCCTAATAGACTAAAATCCTCTAAAGTCTAGTATTTTTAACCTGGCTGACAAGAGAATATTATTTTTCGCGCGTGTGTTGTTTTTTTTGGCGACTTAAAAAAGAAGGTTATATGTTTGTTGTATAAAAATTCCGTTGTAACGGCTCAGACTCTACTACTGAATCTATTTTATAAGAGTGAGGTGTCATTGGATTCGTCTTCTTCTCCTAAGTGTTAAGAGGTATATTCCATCGGCCAAAATCATATACAATGGACGGGAGAAGTAAATGAAAAACGAGAACTTTTTTATTGCGAAATTTTGAGTATTTTTTAAAACAAGAAAGTGTTACATCTTTGCATTTTCTAAACTATTAGCATCAATGTTAAAAGAAAAGAATTAAATACTGCCTCTCAAAGCATTTATTATTAAAACAAAAATCTATAAAATTTCGAAAGAAGGAAATAAGTACGTTATTAACAAATTAATCTTACTTCTTATAAAAAATCACAAAATAAACTTATTATACTAAAAACTACTATCAAAATGGAAGACAAAATTCACCTTAATATTAGTTTTTAAAAATCAATTAAACTTAATTTACTTCTTACTTAATCTTACTTCTTACTAATATTATAAATGCGAATGTTTAAATAGATGGATGTTTGAAGTTATTTCCAGAACGGCTGAATGAATCTCACTGAAATTTGGCATACAGACCATAGTCGTTGAACACCTCGGTGTTCCCGCTGCTCGTTTGCCCCCTTCTGTTATAAAAAAAAAAAAAAAAAGTCTGGAAGAACACATAGGCTACTTAAAGTTTTCTTTAATTCCTCGCGGACGGATTCGCGGTCAACAGCTAGTTAAATATAACTATAAGATTCCATTAAAAAAAAACTCCCGTGTATTTAAATGCAACGAGAGAAATTTGTACTTTTAGTTTGATTGTTTAGTAATTGCATCATGATATCCATACATTGTCGTTTCCTCTCGTGTATTTTGTCTATAATATGTATTACTAATTGAAGTATTTGCTTTTTCTTCTAATCTCTTTCTATATTCTTCCAATGAAATCTTTTTCATAGGTTTTTTGGTTAATATTATCTTTCTTGATTTATTATCAAACTCATGTTTTATTTCTTTATTTCTTGACTCATTGTCACTACATAGGCTTTCTTCTGACACATGGATATGTATTTCTTTATGCATACTTTGTGCATTTGGATCTTCAGTTTTATTTGACGCAAACATTTTTGTTTTAATCTCTTCAACAGAGTAGAAATTCTCGTCACATGTATAATTTTCAATGTACCTATTATGTGGTTTACTTAACATAATATTAGTAGCAACTGGTGTTTCACAGAATGGTATATTTATTAGATTTGGTTGATAATTTCCTGGTGATAGAATTATAGTTTCAGTATCATGGAACCCAAATATTTCGCGTTCACTTTTTCTATCTGAGAACAGATTTGTCACGCAATTAATATAAGATTTGTTATTTGGATCTCCACAGAGGTTTTTCCTCCAATTTAAATTATTTTCATAATTGCTAGAATTCAAATTATTTTTTCGAATAGTTTTTCGTTTTTTACTTTTAAAATTATTGATAAAAAACTGCTTTGTTTTTAAATCGCTTTCAGATTCATTTGCGTCATTACATAAGATTTTATATTCACAATTTTCGTTCATAAAATCATTTTCATTCGTTGTTTGAGTTGATATTTCCCTTTTAGAAGATTGGCGTTGCATTTCAAATATATTTTCCGTGTCTAGTAGTACTTTCCATGTTGTATATCTATAGCCATTGTTGTCTTGACTAACTGACATTAATACGTAGGATTCTTTAGTTGTTTGAGTCGATTTGTCTGTTTTAAAACCAGCCGTATCTATGCTTGATTGATCTATGTTATTTAAACCTTTTATTAAATTTCTATTATTCTCTTTTGCTATTATGTTTTCTACTATCTGTTTAATTTCATCCATATTAACTTTTATGGATAAAGCCACATATGTATTTGAAAATTGTTTGATAAACTTAATAGCAGGATTCACTGTTTCGATGTTAAAACGTCGTTTTAATAGATTATATAAGATTTCACAGTCTGAAAATAAATTTTTTTTTTTAAAAACTAACTTAAAGATTCTATTACACGACAAATAATGAAAATGAAATGGGCTGTTAGTAACTATGTTATCAAGTTCAAGGATCAAGATGACATTTTTTTTGTACACAAAGAATATACTTTAGGTTATTTATAAACCTTTTTTAGGTTAATTTTGTTTAAAAATTTAATATAAACAGCAAACATACATTTATTTACGTACCAAAAGCAACATTCTACAGGCATTAGAGAGTTTTTAATTAATTACGTCTTCCATTTTTATAGAAAATTTAATTATAACAAGATGAAATTAGTTTTATTAAAATATCAGATTAATATTTCTACTTGAACTAAAAACTTAAACTCGACAAAATGTAATATAAATACTAAACACATCCTATCGTAAATATCAAAATAAAAATTACATAAAATTAACAACAATTAACGCCTTAAAATTAATAGAAAGAATCACAATAAACAATAAACAAAATTCGATTATACAACAAACATGAAAGTATGAAATAATAATCAAATAATTGTACTAAAAATTTGAACTTACCGAAGTCTTAGAAGCGGTAACTTACAACTGCAGACCAGAACATAAATAATGTCGCAGTTCACTCTTTATATACTATTCCAAAGTACTGGGATAGTCAAACTTTTTTCACTCTTAACCTTTTTTAACATCATCATTAGCTTATTAGCACTATACGTCCCCACTGAGGTTCGACGCATACCCTAAGTAGGTAACTAAGTCATAGTCAACCACGCTGGCCTAATGCGTTGACTTCACACATTTTGTAACTTCTTCTTAGATATGTTCAGGTTGTGTTAAGAGATTATCACCTTCAACGTCGGGTAAATCTACATATGTAAATCGTAAGTGGAAAAACACATTGGTACTAGTCGGGATTCGAACCCTTGAGTTGCAGATTACAAATGCTTAACAATGCTCTCACTTTTAATTAACAATAGACTTCAAATCTCAGCAATTCTTCGGTATAAGTATTTTCTCCTTTAAATTCGCTTCCTATACTTTTTCATCCTTGTCAATTTCTTTTGAACAACAAAAGTTAACTTTATAACCCTTTGAAAGTATTTTTTAATTGATTTTTTTTCCTTTTACGAAGTACATAAAATGATTTGTTTTACGTTTTGATTTTATTTTTGTTTTTCTGTTGGATTTGGATTGTACAATTTTAGTTAACTGAGCATTTATCCATTCAATTGCTAAAATTTACGCACTACGTATCTACATACTTATAATAATAAAAATCGTAAAACTGATTCTAACCCCTTTTTGTTATTTTCCCCTAAGTTAACTCTCACGCACAAAAATCAAACAGCAAAGTTAACCTTAAACATTTGTATTTACATTTTTGCTAATTTATTATCGCAGGCACCTTCTATGTATTTTTTTTTTCATTTATTTTAATCGCCAAACAAATATATAACGTACTCTAATTTTAAAATTGTAAAGACAAGAAATTTATATGTTTTTTTCACTGATTACCATGACAATATAAAAATAGTTAAAGACATTTCAAAGTATTTTATATAACCTATAAATTACAATGTAAGTTAACTTTGGGAATCACTGACAAAGAAATCTGGGAAGCGTCATATATATAAATAAAAGCTGCACTTGCATTTTGGTACATATGGTATTGAGTTACAATATGCCTTGTCGACATCTGATATACAAAACAATTATTTTATACAATACAAGACGTAGTTAATCTTTTAAATTATTCGTGTAAAATATGCTAGATATGATACTGAATAAGCTTTTTTGGGAAAAATCTGAACTTTAAATGGCTTTTGTGTCGAGATGAATTTATATTTAAACTACCTGTCGCCCGCGACTCCGTCCGCGCGAAATAAAAAGAAGATAAATAGTAAGTAGTCTATGTGTTCTTCCAGGCTAGGTTCTATATGTATGCCAAATTTCATCGTCCGTTAAGACGTTCTGGAGATACAAACTTTCGTATTTATAATATTAGTATGATATTACTACGATTATACGGATGTTGAAAAGATTAATAAAGAAAGAATGACAATAGGATATTGTGAAATTACGCGGCAATTTTAATTGACACCATAGACCGATTGAAAATTTGATTAGTGCTAGAGTATTTGAGCCCGTCAAGTTATCATCAGTTTATAATCGCACTAAATTAAAAGCAACGTCTTTTAACTAACGATCGCCTTTAAAAAGGCCCTGTCTTAAGCCTCAGCAATCGGCAAACATTCGAATACTCAGAAGAAAAATGTGTGTTCTTGTGCTATTATAAATTGCCTGCAAATTATAAAGATTATTCCTAAACGTAGGTGAATGAAACAATTTCATTAATTCATACATTTATATTAATGACACACACGTTATTATCACAACTCTTCATCACTAACGCATGGTTACTGAATTATTTAATAGTTAAATTATTCAAACTTTCGTGAGACATTATACTAAACTGATATATAAACACGGCTAATAAAACCACGGAAATAATACCAGTACCACTCATCCTGATGAAGGGCCCCCGATGGGCTCGAAACTAGTCGGTGCCGCCACCGGACGAATATACGTAGCCGTGTTTATATATCAGTTTATTTAATAGTTATTCGAAACTTTTCCTTATTTCAAATGCTCTATAAATGATTAAAAAAGCAACGCTACATAAGCTACATCTTGCCAATCTCTTGTCATAACAGAGTGAGTTTAACTCTAGAGTCGAGGGGGTGTAGTGTGAGGGGAGAGCGTGGGTCAGCCTCAAATGGTTTAGTCCGTTCTGTGCCATTTCTTCCCCGCGGCACTGGGGTTATTCTAACATGTTGTAATACTTTCACGAGACAGCACTTCATCTGTATAATCGCGAAGCGTTTACCTGAAATTAAAAACAAAATTGTTATTGGAATTGATTTGAAGAATTTATCGGGGCAAATTACAAATGGTCAGCGTACAGGACCAGCCGTCTACATACCAAATACTTTCAGACCCCTACCTAAGGTTTGAAACTAATCGGCATATACTTTGGACTACACGTATGTTCAGTTCTTATCTTTATATATATAATTCTATGTGCGTGTGTATGTCACTGAACTTCTCTCAAACGACTAGACCGATTTTGATGAAATTTTTTGTGTGTGTTCAAGGGGATCTGGGAATGGTTTAGATTCACAATTTTGTCCGCTGGACAATGTTTTTTTAATTTATTAGTAGTTGTTGATTTTGGAATGTTTTACATTGGATCCGACAGACGGCGCTACCATCGCAGTGTCAAATTGTCAGACAACGTCTTTCGGGTCCGCTAGTATTATATAATAATACTAATATTATAAATGTGAATATTTGAATGGATTGATTTGTTTGAAGATATCTCCAGAACAGCTATAGAATGTGTTTTTTAAATTCCGCACGGATGGAATCGCGGACGATTGCTAATTAATTTATAATACAATTCGAATTTATTTCTTAAAACATAAGTTATTTAAATTTTAATTATTTATATAATTATAGTATCTTCTACATTATCTACGTAAAGTACATTGTCTTATTACATTGTATTTATTATGTACTTTGTATTGGAAATGTTTTTTAAACTTCAACAACATTCGTTTCGCATTACTCTAACGAAGCTTTCTGCGACAAACGTTACAAAGACATAGAATGTCAAAAAAAGATTCGTTCATCATTGTACCTAAAGAAATAACATATATCAAAAGACGAGTAACAATTTAAATGTATCCTTAATATAGTTAACATCGATGACATAGTTTACGTGTGATTTTGTATAAAAGTATGCATCTACTTAATATTATATCGATGGATAGAAAGCTTCTTGATTTTGAGAAATTGATAGCTTCTTTCATGATGCACACATTACAAGTTCTGCCTTAGCAGGTGTGAATAAGTACTTTTAAAACTATTAAAAGAGTGATAAGATTATAGTCTTTTTTATGGTATCACGAATGTGAAAACCCACCGTATTAAAAAGCGTCAATAGCCTAATGGTTAGAGGTACGGATTTCCGACCACGAAGTGGGGGTTCCAATCCTGCTATTCGACTATTGTCGTAAACCATATCCTAGCACAAGTCAAGAGCTTAGTTGGAATGGTAAAAGAAATATTAGTAAATTTAACAAAAAAATCTGCTAATATTTCTATTAAAAAAATAATAATAATGAACTTAATTCTAAAATGTAAACAAAGTTGATCCAGAAATACTTTCAAAATTTTAATAGCATTTCTTTATAAAAGATTTTTTTAGTCTATATTAAAGGTCGTAAGTGGAAGATACCAATTCGTTATAAAGTTGCAACTGCTGACACGCGGAATGCAATGAATATGAAAACATTGTGATATAATTTCATTGAACACAGCGATGTGTTACGTAAGCATGTTGAGGCGTGCGAACACGATACCAACACCTTTCCCAGTAGAGTTGAATGAAAACACGTGATATGACGTCATTAATTTGTTATTTTATTTGTTTAAATGTAAATTATATAAATAAACTAGTTGTTGCCCGTGAATCCGTCCGCACGGAATTAAATTTGTTTGGAAGTATCGTGTAATTTTTTTTAATCTTTATTAAAAAGTTTTTTTTATTTCCTATGGAAAGAGTCGCGGGCGATAGCTAGTTTATAATGATAGTAAGATAAATGCTATACAATAAGTTGCATCAGTGGTTTAGGGATTAAGCGGTGAAGTTGTAACCTACAGGTCTTGGTTCGATCCACGTGTTTTTTGAATTTCGAATTTAAGGACATTTTAACCAACCGATAGGAGACATTAGATTCTTATCGGCCAGTGTGTTACTAAGGCCTATTAGCCCTAACTTAAGGTAGACTCTGAGTTCCGATAACTACTATTCGTTAAGATCTTGACAATTAGTAGATATAAACATACCAATACAATATCTTGGTCCGTCTCCAAAAGGCATGTAGACTCCAGGCGGAGGTGGAGGCCTATCGTCTGCCCAACGCTCCGGCACGAATCCCGACGCGTCCTCGAAGTACTGTACGATATTATTTATGTGTAAATTTAAGAAATTAAAATAAAATTATACAGTTAATGTAGAATGTAGAGAAACAATTGGTTGACTGACGTTAAATTCTAAAGGAGCGCAGTCGGCTTTATGTCGTCTCATAAATAATAACTTATCGAATAAACGGACGACGAAAATCCAATAAACGGACTCTATCTATTTTTGTCTATCTAAGATTGGATTGTAGTTATAGCAATAGAGAAACTTGATTAATCCTTCAATTAAGGATCGATTGTCGAATTCAATCGTCAATATTATAAGGTGACACTAACTTAAATCGACGGAGGAAAGGGCGTACAGAAAGAAGTTATTTCTCCTTCCTATCACCTCCTCACATAAATCTTCTTCCCCTTCACTTCTCGTCTGTCTTTTGTTTGGAAATGGTATAAAAATAGTCATTTCAAAATTGGTAGAGCCACATTCTGTTTAATAGATTGTGCTATAAAAACTTTTTTTATAAAAATACTGCGTCATAAAAATCATCAAAGTGATGCGTCACCAATTACACGACAAAGATAAACAAACAAAAAGAACCTGTTCATCTCTTTGTATTCCAAGAGTGGGGAAGAGAACTATTGTGCCCTTTTCAACGACAATATCTGTCCCCGGTATTGTATAGTCCTTTGTACACATTCGCTGGATGCTGGGGAAAGGCGGGTACAGCCGCAGCGTCTCTGGAACACAAATCATGTCATATGAACACCGAATGAACTACATTTCTCGATTAATTGAAATATACAGTTCACGCTTGCATACAGTGAGGCACTGCAAGTACAGTCACAAAGATAACTGTTATTCGAATAATACAGTCAAGGAATTAAGCTCGCTTTCCACTAATCAATTATTGTAGAGCAAACTGTTAAAATAAGAGCTATTAAACATTTATAAGTATGTTGCTATATCAAGTTTTTCACTTAACTGAAGTATGGGCGTCAAATGAGTAGGTATTTAATGTCCTCAAATGTACAGTCAACAAGAATAATATATATCTAATACTATAGTTATTTGTCACTAGAAATTACTATATATTAGTAAAATTAGAGTGTCTGTATGTATAATCGAGAAAAAAAATCATATTTCATATAAGGGATGTATTTGCGTTGCAGATAACGAAAAACTAATATTTAAAATTTTGTCTGTCAGTCCGTATGTCGGTAATATCCGGAACGGCTGGACCGATTTTAACAGAACTTTGATGGAACGTTAGCTGATGTACTCTGTTATATTATAACCTACTTTGTTAATTCCGCGCTGACGACAGGCTGTCGCGGGCGACGGCTAGTCAACTATGAGTACTGTTAATTTACCTTGAATAACCATTTCCATGTAGGTCAGTTCTTGTAGCACCTCGTACGCCATATTTCCGTTATGTCTCTCCATCACCTCTCTCACTTCTTTCCTCATCTTCTCCTGCACCCTCTGATCAGCTGCCAGTTCCAGGAAAAGAAAGGCCAACGTAGAAGATGTCGTCTCGAAGCCCCCGAGGAAGATTATAAACGCATTTGCCGCGATTACCATGTCAGCTGAAAGTATTTTACGATATAATATATAATATCTATAACAAAATCTACTAAAGTTGTTTTATAATAAGCGTATATATCGTTTTGTTTTCGTGAAACCTATGTGTCAAGAGTTCGTATTTGCTTGAAACATAAGCCAGGTAAAATTGTTTTACATCTAAACATGGTTAAAATGTAAATTACAGTTTCAAAATAAAGGGCTATTCTATAAAATTTCTACAAAAAATTACTTAAAAACTATACCTAAATTTAACAAAGAGCAAAAATGTAAAATTCTAACTCTGAACAACTTTTCAAAAGCCTACCCTGAATATTAAACTGTGAACATCTGCCAATTTGAAATGTATATTCTAAATTTTTTTTATCATATGATACGGAAAGATATGCTTTATGATATCGTAATAAAGACCTTATTCCGGTAGCAGAGAATTATACATTCAGACCGACCATGAGATTAAACCGGGATTACAAAGGACGCGAAAATTGCATTACTGCGTTGATACTAGGGCTGACACTATTTACAACGCGTTCGCGCGAATGTATGAAAAACTTAACTTATTTTTCCATGTCAAATTTCAGTGAGATTCGTTGAGACGTTCCAAAGATACCGTAAGATTTTAATTTGATCGGATGGTTTTTAATGATAAATTTATTATGCACTAGCTGTTGCCCGTGACTCCGTCGGCTCAGATTTTAAAAGAAAACTTATATGTTTTTCCAGACTGTGTTCTACATCTATGCCAAATTTCAGTGAGATCCCTTAAGCCATTCTGGAGATACGTTCAAACAAACAGCCATCCATCCATCCATTCAAAAATTCTCATTAAATCAATATTCGTGTTATTTAAAGTTTAAAATTTTTATAGCAAAATTTATTATTCGTAACTCTGGTGATCTGAAAATTTCATTACCTTATTATTAACAGTTTAGGAATACATATATATATATATTTCATTTTAATTTACAAGAGTGCTAATGTAACAGTTTTATTTCATGAATTTGTCAAAATATTTCAAACTTTGGACAGCCCTAATAAAATTTTGCGCGATATGAAACTATTTTTATTAACACGGAATTACTAATCTCGGATATTATATTTTACGCTAATAATGGTTTAATTTCACAATAAATTATCATCAATATTATCATGAATGCCTTACTAATATTATAAATGCGATTTTTAGATGGCTAAATAGATGTACGGATGTTTGATAGATGCTATCTCTAGAACGGATCATCGGATCGCGTTGAATGGTATGGATGTAGAACAAGTCTAGAAGAACACATAGGCTAATATTTTTTTTAACTAAACACAGACAGAATTGCGGGCGACAGCTAGTTCAAAAGTTTTAGTCTTTGACGTCCGTGATTCCATGAAAAGAAATATTACGAAATTCCATTTCACACGGACCTCACTCGTTTCTCTCTCTCTTATTACATAACCTATAAATCTACGAGAACATTCTTCTCGGTTTTTCGTTTTTTTGTCGCCTTTCTTTAATATTTAAATGCGATTTGCTTTTAAAATTATAGATAAATCTTTTTATTTTATGTTAAACTATCTTTTTATTCAAACTAAAACATTTTTTTGTGAATTTAATTCGTCATCTTCGGTAATACATACACAGGAATAACAACTTTTATTATAAAAATACAGCAAGCAATTAAAATATTGAATTAAAAGTTTTTTTTTACTTTGAAAGATCCAATCCATTGCTATAGTTGAATGAATTCAGATTCCATTTCAAGCGAACCCTAATTCGTTAGTCTCCGTCCAATAATTTAATAAGATTAAAGATTTCGTTTAACGATAAACCACCGTGTTGGTTGTAAGTTGGACGGTTTAATTTTTGGTCTTATCTCAAGCCAATATTTTAACTGTATGCTGTAGGGAAGGCTGGCATAAAGCGGTTCAGTTCACTCGGGACCACTTCACAAAATTACCTCAATCATGATCCCGATTAGACCCGGGTTGAAGCGCCCTCTGCAGTTTTTTATCAGACTACAAGAATTACATCGCAAATTGATGGCAGGACAGAACGCTTTTAGCGACGCTGACATTTTTATTATAAAAAATATAAAGGCCATATTGTTACGCTTTTAGTGAAATTTGTGATTTCATTCCGTGAAAACGTCTAGTATATAATGTCAGTAACATCAAACCGGCTGTAACTTGAGTAAATTTGCCAATTTCTATGCCGTGTGCTCTTTCAAACATTACTATTTCGCAAGATACTCTTGTGGAAGTAATACAAATTGTACTTCTATACAGCGTGTCCCAAAATTCAAGGATAAGCCGGTACCGGTGTATAGCCAGGTCAGTAACTACATGGGGAAAAACACTAAAAAAAAATCCAGCTTTATTTGCTTAAAACTTACTTTTAACTTTTCTTATAATTTGATATCCACCAAATGATTACACGCTGTGGCTACAAATATGAACATATTAGGAAGTTTATTAAGTTGGATTTTTTGTATTTTCCCCGTGTAGTTATCGTCCTATACACCATAGCCGACTTATCCTTGAATTTTACGACACGCTGTATACAGGAATCTAAATTTTTAAGACAAAAGAAGACGTCTAAACCGTGTTTTATTAGTTACAGAGCCTTTCAAATCGGAATCTCCGTTTCAAACATATTGTCATCTCTGTTTTGTCAAAGATAATGACAGGGATGACAATATATTTTATACAGAGATTGTAGTCTCAGAAGCCAACGGTAAATCTGTTCTAAATAGGTATTATTTAAAATTTCGTGAGACATTATAATAAACTTATATAAAAACGGCTAAACACTTCATAGTTTCCTTTTCAAAGCTACTCACTTATTTCTACATCGTTTTCGGGCTCTGATTTTGGTGAATTATTATTTTTATCATCACTTCGCAGCGTCATCATAATGTCAATGAAATCGCCGCGTTTCTCCTGAACACCTGAAATCATAATTATACGTTATTTAAAATGCTAAATCAAAAATCAAAAGAAGTCAATTAAATAATAAAGTTCAAGAAATTTAGGAGTACTCCTAACCGTAGAGTTTCACTGAGGTAACATATATTAACATAAAATTGTCCCTTTCATTTGAATTTTTTTTCATTTAACAGTGGTAGATCCCGCTTTAACATCTTCGCACGAATTGTCCCGGCTCGCCCGGTGAAATACCACGACCACACAGAAGACAGGCGTGAAGTGGAAGCAATTCTGCGTTTCTTCTGATTTCACTTCCCACCCTTTTTCTGATAAGAAAAGGATGGGAACTGGAGGTGGACTTTCCGGATGAGAGGATGCATGGAAAGGGAAAATGTTTTCTTTCTGTGCATCCTCTCCTCCGTCGATCGTAGGCAATGCATATGCAAATTGCGTATGTCTAAGGGCAACGGTCGCTTCGCTATTTCAGCGGTTTCAGGTGGCCGCTCGCTCGTTTGCCACTTTATATTATAAAAAAAAAGAATTCACAAAATAGAAACAACAATATATATAAATAATCACGACTGTGGTAAATAACAGTCGATTTCATGCACAAAAACCTCTTGTACTAATGTGCCGATAAGGATAAGAAAGTAATCGTTTGATTATGTACTCTATTGAGAAAGAAATACAAACCGTTTTCCCTTGCACGAAGAACGCTTGTAACGATATTGTAGAAAAAGTCATGCGTCTTCTTCGGTATAATCCTCATACGGAAGAACAGAACGAAAGCTGGCCAGAATTGACGCATTGTCCTGGAAGTAATTAGTATTATTATTAACTATACAATACTTTGCTGTACTGTTAGGAAGAAAATCCGAAAATGTGGCAGTGTATTGACTCAACCTTACTAAAATGTCGATGTTTGTGTCCCCTCACTATTTATTCTGACACTGGACTTCGTAACGAAAGCACGTCATTCGCGCTAAAGCATTCTATCTAATAATACTTAAAAGTTAACTAACTGCCTGAATTAATTTGAAACTTTTGAACATTTTGTGAAATGAATATCGATTTGTCGTTTATCGATATTTATCATTAATCGATTCGATATCGTTTACATAAGGTAGGTATTAAAATAAAGGTGCATTTAAAGTGTAGTAAACGAAACCTTTTTTTATCTTTTTAAGGTCTAATTAAAGTGACGTAGACAATTCGTTTTTTTTTTCTTTAAAAAAAATCGTCTCTTTAATCGCTCCTTTACATGTCAAATTAAATTAATTTAAACCTGAATACTTTTTTAAATTCATTCATACAACAGATCCGTTGTGACTCCCTTTTGCATGGAGTAGTAGACGTAGTTAAAACTTACTTTTCAAATATATTAAACAAACTCATCTCGTAGAAAGCTTGTAAAGCAACTGCAAAAGGATCGTTAGGGTTGTCCATAACTGTACTCTTCAATCCAAAAGCACATGGGACTATTGCATCCGCTGTATACCCTCCGACCAGTTTCTCTGAGTCCACCAATGCTCCATTACTTGTACCAAATGTTTTGTCATTTGTTCCTATGTTTTTGTCATCCAGGTGTCTATCATTTTTGGTTCTATCGTTTGATATTAATTCTCTGATGCGTATAGTAAATTCTTTAGCTGTGTTCTCTATTAGGGGGAACATTCCTCTTAATTTATTAGGCCTGAAATTAGAAAGAAAATAAACTTTATAGTGGTCTATAATTAGGAACGCAAGTTATGAATTTTTGGTTATACAAGGGAAGATTCAAAAGGTTAACATAAGGTTAAGAAAGCAGGTCAGTGTTTAAAAAAAATCCTACTAATGTTTAGATGGATGGATGGATGTTTGTTTGAAAGTATCTCCAGAACGGCTAAACGGATCTCGATGAAATGTGAAATGCATATAGAACATAGTATGGAATAACACATAAGCTACTAATTATGCTTTTTAATTTGTGCAGACGAAGTCGCGGATAAAAGCTAATCTTCTTATAAAATGTCGATAGTAAAAGCATTAGTTACAATTGTATTTTTGAAAGAGATGTAAAACTTTACAAAGTTAAATATTTTCATTTTTACAATAATTTTATTATCTTTTAGAGGTATAGCTTTGTATATAAAAGATAGTATTTTATTGAATCGCTGCAAATTCCTGTGAGTGCAATCACTAACTCCATTCTTACAATATCGATTGTCTGTGAATCCTAGCTGAATTCAATTTAATCAAACCACAGAGTAATTGCATTGTGAAAAATAAAATCGAGTGCTTTCCAAACGATCTCAAACTCTATATAGCTTGATTGTTTTGTTTAATTCATAAGAATTAAGTTAATTATAAAATAAACTGTTGTGTGTAAATTATCAGAATTACTAGAGGCAAAGGTAAATAAAATTCAAAATTAGTATAATATATGCACGCAATAGCTGTCGCCAACGACTCCGACCGTGTGGAGTTAGATAATAAAACTAATTATTAGCCTATGTATTCTTCCTGACTATGTTCTATATCTATGACAAATTTCAATGAGATGCATGCAGCCGTTCTGGAGATATCTTCTAACAAACATCCAAACATTCATCATCATCATCATCATCACCAGCTCACTATACGTCCCCACCGAGGGGCTCGGAGCCTACCCTAAGTTAAGGGTGATTAGGCCATAGTCAACCACGCTGGCCAAGTGCGGGTTGGTTGACTTCACACATATCATTGAATTTCTTCTCAGACATGTGCAGGTTGCATCACGATGTTTTCCTTCACCGTAAGAACGTCGGATAAATGTACATATGTAAATCGGAAATGGAAAAACACATTGGTACATGGCGGGATACGAACCCAGGACCTGCAGATTGCAAGTCAAGTACTTGACCACTGAGCCACCGACGCTCCAAACATTCTCATATATATTATGAGTAATAATCATCAAAACTATATTTAAAAATTCTATTGTCTTTGTAAAATGTATGTCGAAAAATCACGCTTTCCCAAACATTTAGCTCTTCGAACCTCTAATCCAATTTATATGAAATCCGATTATAAACTTTCATTGACTTGTCTTAATCCATTATTTTACTTGTACTTGTCAAAGTGAACAGAACGCTTTATATTAATACTATTTAATCTTCTTTTGATTTTTGTGTAAAGATGAAATCTTATTGTAACCGAAATTAACTTTATCTGTTTGTTTATGGTATCTGCTAAAAATATCCGTATAAAAACCGATAAATAAGGAAACGGTTACTTTTTTTATATTATAAGATGGCAAACGAGCGAGCGGCCACCTGAAATCGCTGAAATAGCGAAGTGACCGTTGCCCATAGACATACGCAATCGACGGAGGAGAGGATGCACAGAAAAAAATATTTTCCCTTTCCATGCATCCTCTCATCCGGAAAATCCACTTCCACTTCCTATCCTTTCCTTATAAGAAAGAGAGTGGGAAGGGAAAAAGGACTAAATTAGGCCTAAGGGACGCACACTCATCAGACGAAACGCGGAATTGCTTCCACTTGACGCCTGTCTTCTGTATGGTTATACTTTTAAGAACATAAACAACATTTCTCCTTCCCAATTATTTCTTTTTAGAAAATTTTTGAAAGGCATTCGCCTTATTCATGTCAAATCTTGGCTGCCAGTACACCTGCTATGCTGCATCACTTACGAGAATATTGGTGATATCTTGGCTCTTAATGTCTTCCATTCATTCCCTCTGAGAAAGAGAACGGAGCCGGCGAGCGGATCCACTTCCTCGTTGAAGAAGAAACCTCTATCTGTGAAGTGATGGAAGTCATTCACGCAGATCTTCTTTATCAGCTCCGGATCATGCACGACCAGCGTGCGCTGGAAGAACTGATGACAACCTGGAAATACCACACACCAACATTAGTTTTCACAGCTTAAAGACATGTATGAGATATTGTTATTGATCTCGTATGAAACATACAAGAAACTTCTATTCACTTTAAAAAATTATTTTTTATATCATAAGGTGAAGAACAAACAAACGAACGGCCACCTAAATTCGCCGAAATAACGAAGCGATTGCATATGCTTTGCCTACCTTAAATCGACGGAAGACAGGACGCACAGAAAGAGAATATTTCCTCTTCCTATGCATCTCTTACGTCAAATCCACTTACACTCCCTTACCTGATGAAAAAAGGGTAGGAAGAGAAAGAGGACTAAAATAAGGCCGCTGTCAAATATTAAGAGTAACATAGAAGAAAGAGTCAAATAAATATAAGAGGTAATGTAAGAGTCAAAAGAAAATAAATAATGACAAATATTATGTAAATTTCATTACTAACAGTGTAAGGTTCAAATATCTCGGCTAAGTGACGTAAAATATTCGTCGTCACGGATTCATTATGCTGGAGTCTCGACGAAAGAAATCACTGCTCAAAGAAATGTTGGATTATTCAAATGAAGTTAACGAGGGAAGAACAAACATTTACATCGGTAAAGTGACCGAATTTAAAAAGTCAAAAACAATATTCTTAGATATAAAATTCTCGTGTCATACTCCTCCGAAACGGCTTGACCGATTCTCATGAAATTTTCTGAGCATATTGAGTAGGTGTGAGAATCGGCCATCTATTTTTAATCCCGCACAGACGGAGTCGCGGCAACAGCTAGTAAGTCTCTAAAAATATCCATTTTACTAATATTACAAATGCTAAAAGTTTAGGTGGATGTTTGTTGAAAGGTATCTTCGGAGCACAGCGGATCTCGATATAATTATGACGTATTGTGGAAGGACTCAACATGGCTACCTATTAAGTTTTTTTAAATTCAGTGCGGATGAAGTCGCGGGCTTTTGCCCGCAAATAATTAAAAATATATGTTATCCATATAATTGAATTGACCAAATTCGAGTGTCTGAGTAATATCGTAAAAATTATGTTTCATAGCATGGTAAATTTGCTTTGCTTCGTTATTCCGTTCCTCGTTCGAATATTCGAGTTTTAAACATTTTTGTCTGTCTGTCTGCCCTGAAAAGTGACTCCGCGTTTGTTACGGGTAATTTCTGAAAAGATTGGATCGTTTTAAGACGAGGTTTTTTTTACTGGAAGGTAAATTAACTATTTGTTAAATCTTTTACTACAATCGTTTTAATAGTTTATCAGCAACGAACAAAAAAGTCAAATCTGTACTCTTACGATTTTACTCATATGATGGATGGATGTTTGTTTGAAGTTATCTCCAGAACGGCTAAATGGATCTGGATGAAATTTGTCAAACATATAGAACATAGTCTGGAAGAACACGTAGGCTACTAATTACATTTTTTTTAATTCCACGTGGACGGAGTCGTGGACAACACAAACATATTTATTATGTTCAGTGGAATTTGTCAATAGATGTTGGCCAATAAAATAATTGTGCAAGTCGTCCTCCTTTCGCCAACTTTTTTTTGAAATCTCACGAATTATTTAAAACCTTAATTCATTCAGTTGATTTCTCACCGGTAAATAAGTAACTGGTACGTTACGTAAGCAACGCGTTTATTACCACACGTGCTCCAAAAATATTGTTTCGTATTGTTTGTATTATGCACGATTCAATTTAATTTAACATAATTTCTAATTAATCTCAATACATTAAAATTTTCCAGATTTTTAATTTTGTTAATTAAAAGATTTACTTTTAACTAGCAGCCCACAACTCTGTCCGCGCGGATATAGGAGTCTGGACCGACGGACGGACGGATAACAAAGTTATCCTATAAGGGTTCAGTCGTTATCCTATGAGGTACAGAACCCTAAAAAGTCTTTCAGACTATGTTCTATATCCATGGTAAATTTCATTGAAATCCGTTGAGCCGTTCTGGAAATATTTCTAACAAATATCCATCCATACATCCAAACATTCGCATTTACAATATTAATAAGACAGTAAGATATAGTAAGATGCTTTTATAATCTTTTTAACTATTAATCGAGTTTTCATTTGTCTGTCATTCAATAAATCAATAATTTCCAGCTTGATACATTCACGCGTTCCTAAGAAAAAGGATCGTCGCCCTCCTCCGTCGATTATTCGATTATTATTTATGATTCGTAGGCAACGCATATGCAATTGCGTATGTCTATGGGCAACAGTCACTTCGCTATTTCAGCGATTTCAGATGGCCGCTCGCTCGTTTGCCACCTTATGATATAAAAAAAAAAGTTTGAACATGATAAAACATTAACAACAAAGAAATAACTTAACTTAAATACAAGTTAAAACATTTGTTACATAAAGAAAGTTTATACATCGGCTGTTTACTTTCGAATGAACTCGAAATATAAACAAAACAACAACGACTTGAATAAACCAAGTTGTTTGAAACAAAGAAATTACATTTCTATCTAACCGTGGGTTTACACTGTAAAAACATTCTTACTTAAAACAAACTGTTTTGTTGTTTTTCAGTTTTTTCAGATGAAATGTAATATTATGTTTTTACTAATTTTTCAGCAATGTAAACCCATGATAAAGTTATATGTGAATATACGGTCGGCCGCAACTCCGTCCGCGCAAAATTAAAAAAAAAAAACTTGATAGCCTACATAATCTCCCAGACTATGTACTACATCTATTAGAAATTTCATCGATATCTGTTAAGCTGTTCTGCAGATTACTTCTGACGATTATTCGTACATCCAAACATTCGCATTTATATAATAATATTAGTACGATTAACTTTTAATTCACTAAATAACAAGAGCAATATTATTTAGTCAACCTAGTGACCTTGGTTTAAAGACTTAAATAAACCAACGTCGTTCACTTTTTAATCAAACTAATGAAATATTATAAAAATAAACGTTCTTTAAATGATTTATTATCTTTATATAT